CTAGTAGTAACAAGAAGCTACTAGGAACAAGTGCATCGCTTCTAGTAGCAAGTGCCTTACTAGTAGTAACAGGAAGCTACTAGGAACAAAATACTTCAAGGAACCTAAGAGCAATTGCCTCCAATTCTCTCCACACGTTGGACGTTTCGACGACTTGCAAAGGACTTTTCTCATTCCCCACATGTTGGGCATCCTTTTCGCACGCGCATAGTATCAAGGATTTCTGGAACACTAAAGCTTCACTTGTGAACTTAATCTGACACCGAGAACTTCACATGGTCGAAGTTGGCTAAATAACAACTCTTTTGATGCAGCTTGAACAGGTGGTGGATGATGTGGTGGAAGGCGTCTCTAGAAACGATTCTCACTTTGTACACCCTCCACCTGATGATCCAGTGCCAAGTGAGTTGGTGCCTCAGGCCACTGTTGATTGCTTCGTGTTGCACTGTGAATTAGATCTTGAATTTGTTGCGTGGACACAAAAAAGAAACAGAAGGTAGGTTGGAGGCCATCGCTATTAGGAACAAGAAGCTATTAGGGGCTCCTGGCCTTACTACTAGGAGCAATGTTCGCTACTAGGGGCTCCTGGCATCGCTACTGGGAGCAAGGACGCTATTAGTAGCTATTAGGTTAGACCACCGCATAGTGCCAAGCACGAAGCCAACTACATGTTGTCATTTTGCGTCGTCCCTGGGTCCCTGGGCGCGAACGTGCGCCCGTTCCAAGAGATCTCGCAGGAGGTCAACCAAGAGATCGCTCACCTTACCAAGGATGCTACTAGTAGCGTCCTTGCTCCTAGTAGCGATGGCCTCCACCTTACCAACCTCCAGGTACAAGGCTTTTGAAGACAGATCCAGACAGCGCTTCCCGGGCCAAAGCCAGAGCACTAGACACACGAGAATCTGCGACAACCAGAAGTAACTCTTCCCATAAAAGTGCGCCTGCATTATCTCACAAGAGAGCATCTACATCCCTACTAGGAGCAAGGTCGCAAAGATCTCATGAGAGGGACATGCTTGGCAGGTGTGAATATTTCCGTACAGGAAGGTCTTACATCTGAGGTCATAGCTGAGCTTTGAGGAGATTAAGTGCAAAAGAGAAAGGCGTACGTTCGACCATCACGTCCCCGCCGAGGTTTGACCTTGAGACTGGGGCCTTCCAGAATGACATGCCCAAGCGCATCACCAGCGGCCAAAGCCTGCAGGTGCATCGCGTACAGGTCTTTTCAGAGAAGTTGTCTGAAGATACTATAATCCTTTTCATTTTTCCTTGTTTCTACTCGTAATGGCCTCCAACCTAGTCACGATGGCCTCCAACCTAATAGCAAAAGGAACCTACTAGCGATGGCCTCCAACCTACTAGCAATGGCCTCTCTAAAGGTATGTTTTAGATTTTAGAGCATTCGTTTTTAGCAAAAATACACTTGCGCCTTTTTTCGCAATGGGCCCCGAGCCTTTTGCTTTCGTCCAGACTTGAGACGCAAGGGCAACCAGCGACATAGAGTATTCGTAGCATTATGGCAAGGCCAGGCTTCTAGTGGATTGGAACCGTAAGTGGATTCTTGAGCCGAGCAGGGTGGTGTTTGGAGTACTGAAGTCCATTTTTCATTATTCTGTAAGAATGCTCCTAGTAGCGATGCCAGGAGCCCCTAGTAGCGTCCTTACTCCTAGTAGCGATGCCCTTTGCTCCTAGTAGCGTCCTTGCTCCTAGTAGCTCCTCTTTTCTTGAATACTAATAGTCAATTATTCAAAGCTTGTTGGGGCTCTCCCAGGAGACTTTGAACCGCTGGCGCGGCCGGCAGCAATTCCAACGAGAGAGGTCCTTTGACAGTAGAGGTGCCATTGCCCGACAGAACAACAATGAAACGGCCTCCAACCTACTAGAGATGGCTTCCAACCTACTAGCGTTGGCCTCCAACCTACTTTTGAGATTCACCCTTTGTCCGCCCATGCAGTTTGATGCCCAGTCAGATTGGTCTTAAAATCAGCCCACATGGTATTACTGCTAGGAACAAGAAGCTACTAGAAATACCACACTTTCCAGTCATCAAAACGGTCTCAAACACGTGACACACGGGACCGTGATGTTGCAGTCAGCGGAGAGCTTGAGCAGCACAATTCGGGCCCAGAGCAGCACCACTCGGGCCACTCGGGAGGCGGAAACTCCTGGTGCTTTGGCTGCGATATTTCTTGTTTCTAGTAGTACGGCCAGGAGCCCCTAGTAGATTCTTGCTCCTAGTAGCGATGCCAGGAGCCCCTAGTAGCGTCCTTGTTCCTTAGTAGTACAGCCAGGAGCTCCTAGTAGCTTCTTGCTCCTAGTAGCGATGCCAGGAGCCCCTAGCGTCCTTGCTCCTAGTAGTAAGGAAGCTGCTTTTTAGATGTAAAAAAGAACTAAGAGCGATGGCTTCCAACCTACGGTGTAAATTTGCTTGTTCAAAACAGTTGTCGTTATGAGCAGTTAAATCCATTCCTTAAGGGGAACCTGATAGGGTTTAGGATGTTAAGTTTATCGGTTCTTTCGTTTCTAGAATTGTCAGGTCTCCAAATTGAAACAAGAGCACATGTTTAGACGAATGTGTTTTGACGGCCTCAGCAAATCCTTAGGGCCTTAGCTTTGGAATGTTTTGGCAGTTTCTTCCAATAAGACTCAACAGGCCTCAAGTCAATGCTTTACATTTGACGCCTTCTGAAGAAAGAACCAACAGAATTTGTCTCTTTCTTTCCTTGACTTTACCAAGAGAGACAGAAGAAGCAAATGCAGGTTTCTCGAACAATCTAGGAACCAAATCGTTGGTGCGTGAGCTATCCTAGGAGCGAACTAGCCGTCCTTACTTAACTAAAAAGGCGCCTACTTAATTGAGCAGGGAGGGGGGTGGAGGTCGTCCTTGCTCCTAGTAGCGATGCTTTGTTACTAGTAGCTTCTTGTTCCTAGTAGTAAGGCCAGGAGCCCCCCGGTAGCGTCCTTGCTCCTAGTAGCGATGCCAGGAGCCCCCCCGGTAGCGTCCTTGCTCCTAGTAGCGATGCCAGGAGCGCCCCTAGTAGC